GAAGGCAATTCAAACACGCATACACTCACAACCACCATAGTTCTTCTTCCATTCACTTTGAACCTCCCTCCAGATGCGTTATGTGGCATCCTTGTTCTTTTTATTTATTTATTTATTTTTTAATTACTGGCTTTTCATTGAAGCCCAGAAAAAGAGTAAACAAAATACACCAGGAATCCACAAAAAACAGGGGGATACAATCTTGAGAATACAACGTAACAAGTAAATGAGAAACAACTTAAACTTTAGATCACTCTGCTGGACTGAATATCCATAATTATGGAATTGAACTGATGACTGGATACAATCTGGAGATTTGAAGGACTATCAGAATTTGTTCTTTGTTGAGAACTAGTAGCGCAACCAAGGTCAACAAGAAACAAAAGGAACTCAACTAGAAACAGCGAAGAAAAGATTTTACCATATGAGGCAGGAGCATAATGCATGGGCAAGTGCGGCAGAGTGATATTGAGTAAAACCTTGTTTGAGAATACAACCTAGAAATTTAGAGAGAAGGAGAAGAGTGAAAAAAATAAGAAAAAAAATGAGGAATACACTGGCAAAAGTGAAGAGGACAGTAGAGCCATTGAGGAATACACTGGCAAAAGTGAAGAGGACAGTAGATGTAAAAAAATTTAGAGAGTCGGATCAGTAGTCCATTACTAGCAACAACGATATTGTTCCCAACTTAACCACCTATAAAACCCAATATGTGTGATGTTTTACCACAAAAAGACTTGGTGATATTAGTAGTAGAACCATTCATTATTTGTTGTATTTTATTTAGTTAAGTTCTAATATAGGATTCATATTCTTCAATATATGGTTGTAAAATATCATTCACTAAAACTTTGAGAAAGCTTGTACAGAGTGGAGGAGGACCATTCAAGAAAGTTAGAGATGAGAAAAGTCTTGTGAACAGGTTTTGTGGTGTCAGATTGTTATGCATCTAGTTTTATATCCTACATGATATCAACCTATCTAAAATTCTATCGGACACAAATTTAAATTATTACATATATGATGTTGACTAGTTTGGCTGTGTGTAACCAAATGATCATTGCGCATTCATCGCAAAAGGCCCTATAAAATCCTTCACCCATATGCTTACTAACTCATAGATATATCTTAAACATTTTTCTATGAGCCAATAAATGGGCGATTCAACCCCTCTTCTCTCCGAAATCAACTCGGCCGAGTCAGAACCCCCATTGTTGCACAAACACGTTCCCTCCCTAGACTCCACGATCGAACGGTGCATCGGAGATTTCGGGTGGGCCCAATTCCTCCAAGCCATCCTTGTATCGTTTTCGTGGTTCTTTGATGCCCAACAAACCTTCATCACCGTCTTCACAGACGCCGAGCCAACATGGCACTGCACCCAACTCGATGATCCTACACAACTCATGCAACTCAGCCTCAAACGTTTGCCAACTTCCTCAAAATTCATGGGCTTGGGACTGGCCAAGACACACTTCCACCATCTCCGAATGGGCCCTGCAGTGTTCACCGTCACTCGTCCAGGGTATGCCCGCCTCAGCTTTCTTCATGGGTTGCTTAATAGGTGGGCTTGCCTTGGCCACACTTGCTGACACGTCACTGGGCCGCAAAAACATGCTCTTCCTCACTTGTCTCTTCATGTCTTTGTCCACCTTTCTCACTGCCTTCTCCCCCAACATATGGATCTACTCCATCCTCCGATTCATCACTGGATTTGGCCGTGCTACCATCGGCACCTCTGCTCTTGTCCTATCAACGGAGCTTGTCGGGAGGAGGTGGCGTGGCCAGGTAGGTGTCATTGGATACTTCTGCTTCACTCTAGGGTTTCTATCCCTACCAGCTATTGCATACACTCAAAGAGCTCATTCATGGAGAACACTCTATTTTTGTACTTCCATCCCTACATTCTTGTATTGCATAATGGTTCGTTTCTTGGTTCATGAGTCACCAAGATGGCTCTTCGTTCGAGGCCGCAAAGAAGAAGCAATTGCAACACTAAAACACATTGCACCCATCAATGGTACTAGTACTAAAACACCACTCACCTCTAGCTTCTTTTCGAACTTGTCCTTTGAGCAAGAAACAGGGAACGTTGATCTCTACTCGGCGATCAAAGTTCTGGTGAAGAGAAGATGGGCTTTTAGGAGATTGTCCGCGCTTATGGCAATGGGATTTGGTGTTGGAATGGTATATTATGGAATGCCATTAGCCTTGGGAAGCTTGGACTTCAATATCTACTTAAGTGTCACGTTCAATGGCTTGTCAGAGCTACCAGCTTCATTAATCACATTAGTCTTCATTGCCAAAATGAACAGGAAGACCTCACTCTTGGTTTTCACTAGTCTTAGTGGGGTGTTTAGCATCATGTCCGTATTGAAAGGAATTCATCCAATATGGACAACAATACAAATTGTGTTCGAGCTTGTGTCTTTTTTCAGCGCCTGCTCGGCTCTCAATATCTTGCTAATATTTACGGTTGAGCTTTTCCCCACCTGCGTGAGAAACTCGGCTGTGTCGATGGTGAGGCAGGCGGTGGTATTGGGAGGAGTGTTTAGTCCAATGCTGGCGGCCGCTGGGAGAGTCAATGGCGGGTTTTTGTCGTATGGAGTGTTTGGGGTTGTGGTTGGGCTTTTTGGGTTGTTTGTGGTTTGTTTGCAAGAGACAAGAGGTAGAGGGATTTGTGATACAATGGATGAAGAAGAGTACAAACAAAGAGACAGCTACTTGTAATGCGGTCCCTGGTGATGTACGTAGATTGATTTAAACTACTTTGTCTTGTAAGGCTTTCCTCAAATAATCTGGAGTTAATATTTTTCCACGACAACTCCTTTGGTCTTTGTTTTTTTGTTTTTTTTTTTTTCATGCGGAAAGGAATATTATAAAGCAAAACCTCTTGGACACGCGGGCCAAAAGAGATAAAAAATTAGTGATACATAGGATATGATCAAGACACTTTATTAAGGGAGTGACAAAGATATAATATAGCACGCCAACTATGACTTGTACTCGGACAGCAACAATTTGAGGAATTAATCTCTTCCTCGAACAGTAGGATTTGTCTACACCCGATTCGTGTGAGTTATTTTGCCGGCCATACACTAGTGCTTTGCTTTCTAACCATAAATCAATCATTGTACGCTGATAATTACCACCCAATACATAGAGGCCACAAAAACCAAATATTAATATATTTGAGAAAATTTGAGAAACAACTGCACTTTACAACACTAAATATTAATATATTTATCTAATGGTGAAAATTTATTTTACAAATTTATAAATAAACCCAATCCTAGACATGTATTTATAAAAAAACCCAAGCACTATTTAAACATAGAAACACACCCAAAATCAACCCCAAAGTCAACTTTTTGGGTGTGTTTATAAAGTGTTTTGGGTGTTGGGTTTTTTTATAATTTCAACCTCCATTTTGGGTGTTTTAGTGAAACTCCTTATTTATTTTTTGTGATTGGTGAAAATAATCCAATTTTATCATAAGGAGTTTAGAAACTAACAAAGGTTTGTTTCAGATAACTTTGTGGTGTTGAAATCAAATTTTTTACATCATTCACTCCCAACACTCAAAGTGAACTAGACCCAATTCATGGCAGTTTTAGGCTAAAATTCCAATTCCCCCATGAGTATCTATAAACATAAAAGCTCACAAATGCCTTTAGGCATGCTGTATTCGGTGTCGGCATTGGATAAGGCTACAACTTTCTGGTTTCTTGCTCCGCCAAGGAACCAAATACCTCCCACAAATATGAAGTAGCCAAAAGTGGGATTGCCTTAGAAGGAGTGACATTATGTGTAATTTTGATATTTTTAAATTATATTATTGTAAAATTAGGTAAGACCAAATTAGTAAACTATGTTGTGTTTTAAAACTAAAGCTCCCTAATAAAAAAAATAGTTATTCTTGACATCTGATTCACAAAGCCCCATTGGCGGGTGACAATTGATGAGTATAAATATAGTTTTCAATTTGGATATTTCACCAGCTTAAAATTATCAAGTGAGTATCTATCTGGAGGCTTCCCCTAGGTACTCTGATAGCTGTCACTATCAATTTGTTTAATAGTTGTATGATCAATGACAGAATTTTTAATATTAATCTGGTTTTCTAGACTTATCTTAGGAATACCTGCATGAGAAATAACATGATCGGGTACTGTAGGAGTAGAGGAGGGGAAAGTAGTATAAGAAGCCAAGAGGTCTGAAGAAGACGGCAAGGGCGGCGACGACGACGTCGCCGGTACAGGTTCTGCCTATGAGTCTGGTATTGTACTCGTTGCTAGTGGTCTCTTCAAATCGAGTTCTGTCAAATCTGATGAGGGTACATCAACTAAATCTGGTAGCCCAATCATCTAATTTGGCTCTTCCATGCTTACAATCTCCCCCTGAATAGGAGAATTGGACATTGGTTCAGCAAAATACATCTCTGTTTCTGAAAAAGTAACATTCATTGTGACGAAAGAAAGTCTTCTGGTGTGGAAAGTAGCCAACAGAGACACACTTCAAAGCACAAGGGTCAAGTTTAATACGCTGATTTTTATGAAAGTAGACAGAAATAACACATCCAAATATCATAGCGCAAGGGATAAATGGGAAGAATGAGTGACATAGGTAGAGAGTTTCTCCAAAGGTGACTTAAATTGTAGGGTACTGGTTGGGACACGATTGATGAGATACACTGCAAAGGTGATAGCATCCTCCCATAAGGTAGGTTTCATATGGGCACCAATGAAATTGGCTCGAGTCACCTATAGGATCTGGCGATTTTTCCTTTCCACAACACCATTCTGTTGTAGTATTTGAGGACAAGTTGTCTCGTTAATAATATCATAATCCTGAAAATAAGCTTGTAATAATTGATTGACATATTCACCTCTATTACTAGAATGAACAACTTTCAAAGTAGTAGAAAACTAAGCATGTACCATTTTTTAAAAAACACGAAATCAATCATAGACATCACTCTTGTTTTCATCAAATATAACCATGTCATACGGGTGCAATCTTTCACAAAGATCAGAACCAGTAGAAACAGGATCATGTCCCCAAACATCAGTTTAAACCAAAGCAAATAGAACATATGTTTTATTTGAACTTAATTGATAAGTAGCACACTGACTCTTAGTCAAAATGCAAGTATCGTACTTAAAATCCGAAATAGTACAATATGAAAATAAAGACAGAAATAAATGTCTTAGATAACTAAAAGAAGAATGGCCTAAACGATGATGCTATAACCAAATATGATTCTCTTTATCTCGAGCAGTGCTCTTTACTGACATAATCCTTCCTAAAGAAGACAAAAAAAAGATAGATCAATAGAAGACAATTTAATTGTTTTATCACTTGAGGAACATATAAGATATTATTTGACAATGCAGTAACAACTAAAGTATGCTCCAAATATAAGGAAAGGGTTAATTCGACTGTGCCAGCACCTTTAACAGGATAGGACACACCAGTTGCATTGGGCACGTACTCGAGTGGTTATGATTCCGAAGAGCATATAGATCGTAAGTCATATGATCAGTGGCTCTAAAATCAATTATCAAGCCAGGGTGTGCAATTGCTAATGAAGTAGAAGAAGACAAATTATGGAGACAAAAGGAAGAAGAGAGAGAGAGGGAAGGTGAGACTAAAGTAAGAAGGAGGTGATGGTGTTTGCCATTAGAGAAAAAGGAGTCATTACCGTCAATTTGGGAAGGAGGAAAAAAACCTAAGCTGATGTGGCCTACCCACAACCATTAGATTATTTGAATGCTTCATATTTTGAGAAATAAATCTACATATTTTGCGAAATAAATCTAAATACATGCTTTCTAAATGGAAAGACTCAGGAATTCTATTTTATGAATGGATGCATCTATATAGTTTGAATGGGTCATATCTATTTCAATGAAATATTATACTCATTGTCTTTTCACAATAGATGTACCTATAGATACGTATCTATTGATGGGTTTCCCTCGTTAGTGGAGGAGAGAAAAAGAAGGAAATAAATATTAAAATGAAATGAAAGAAAGGACGGGAAAATTTGAAGAAAATGAATGGAAGAGAAAATGAGAAGAATTCTCTTTCATGCACTGCCACCAATTAGTTAGGAACGTTTGCCTATAAAAGCAATTGCATTCTTTCAGTTATAGGCATCCTTTAGAAAACCAAAACATAGAGATTTTTGAGAGATAAGAAAACCTCACTTGTGTGAGAGAGAAAACCTAAGAGAGAGTTTAGCCACCGGTGTTTGGTGAGATTATTATTGTATTCTCATTATTTTTTCTTAGTGGAAGATAGAGTGTTAATTTTGTCCATTTTATTTACACAAGGTTGGGAGAAATCAGATCATGAGAGTGCCATATTTATTTATTGGCTCTTTGATTTTTCGCCATCTTTCCCAACATCTATCTAGACTTTTTATCACAACTAATTCATATACTGTTTTCAAACATACAATTTCTTCCTTATTCTTTCACAAGTAGTTCATGTACTCTTTTCAAACATATCAATTTCTTCCTTATTCTTTCAATTTGATCAATGTCATCTCCGTCTTCTTTTGTTGCACATTAATGCTGTCATTCTCGACACCAATTCTATTCAATTTCGGTCAAAATTGATCATGTGCCTTACACATCAATACTCGTGGGTGGGTGGCGGTATATTTTTCTTTGTGATAAGCTATGACTAATTATGAATTTGAACAATGAAATCGTTAATTTATTTTGGTGCATGCGTAGTGTACAAATAACCTATAGTTAATTACTTAGCATAGAGGGCATTTATGATAAGGAGGCGACATAAGTAGAGATTAAATCCCAAGTTAGCACGCATGTCGTATAGTACTGGTTTTCATAATGAAATTTAAACAATAAATCAAAATAACTACGAGTATCTTTAACCAATATGTCAAAATTGTTATATGGATATGAAATTGAAAAAATTGAAGGTTAAAGTTGCTCCAACCAAGTAGTCAAATCTTACATGAATTTGAAGTCCAGAAGAGATCGATATGTCAAATCTTAGAGCATATCCAACCGATGTGTCAAAAGTGCCACATAGACATTTAACAGCTAGAAATAACATCTCACATCACTCCAACCGATGTTTCAAAGCTGATGTGGAATGAAGGCTGAAGATTGAGATTTTATTTTTGACATTCCAAAAGCAAGATGTCAAACGAATATTTTATTATTTTTTCTATGCGCATTCATCTTAAAGCAACATATAGATCGACGCTGACTAATTTGACTGCCCGTGACCAAATAATCATATGCGCATTCATCTTAAAGCCCTATAAGAACCTTCACCATATGCTTCACTAACTCGAGTATATATCTTAAGCATTTGCTCTGAACCAATAAATGGCTGATTCAAACCCTCTTCTCTCCGAAATTAACTCGGCGGCCGAGTCAGAACCCCAAGTGTTGCACCATAAACACCCTCCCTCACTCGACTCTAGGATCGAACTGTTCATCGGAGATTTCGGATGGGCCCAATTCCTCCAAGCTTTCCTTGTATCGTTTTCATGGTTCTTTGACGCCCAGCAAACCTTCATCACCGTCTTCACAGACGCTCAGCCAACATGGCACTGCACCCAACTCAATGATCCTCACAACTCATGCAACTCAGCCTCAAACGTTTGCCAACTTCCTCAAAATTCATGGGCTTGGGACTGGCCAAGACACACTTCCACCATCTCCGAATGGGCCCTGCAGTGTTCACCGTCACTCGTCCAGGGTATGCCCGCCTCAGCTTTCTTCATGGGTTGCTTAATAGGTGGGCTTGCCTTGGCCACACTTGCTGACACGTCACTGG